GCTGCTCCCACTGTGTGCTCGTTTCTAGTCAGTCCCACGTGCTTTTGCTTGCAAACCTTTTAAATCTCAGGATTTTGAATGCTGCCTCCAACATTTCCATTTGGGAGCCAGCTTTTCCAAAAGCACTGGAGTGGCAAAGCAGCCATGAGACACAGACATTTGTGGCACACACAGCCAGGCACCACAGTCAGAAACACCAGCAGGAGCCTCCACCTTGTGTCTCTCAAAGACTTCTCTTTAAAAGACAACTGCAAATTGAGGGGTAAAAATGTTTCCTGCAAGCAAGCAGGCAGGAGCTGACAGAACAGGTGAGCAAAGACAGACTGTCAGGACAGTTTCTGGGTTCCCAGCTCGCCGGCTCAAAATAGAAACTCAGACCTTGCAGGCATTGTGTCTCAGAGTTTATAAATTTCTCTTATTACAAAGGACAGGTAGACTTTATAATTGACAGCAGCTTCTAGCCCTTCTAGCCCTTGTGTCTACTTCCATTAGTTCTTCTCCGTTTCTCCTCTCCCAAACATACTGAATATACACAAAAAACCCCAATTTCTGTATGAATTCAGTGCTTTGCAGCAAAAATCCCTAACCACCACTAGATCTTACAAGCTGCTGAATCTAGAGCCATTGCAGCCTCCCCCTTTCTATTAAATCATTACAGTGTCTGATGGCTGAGTATATAATTTACATTAAGTTTTGGCAAACAGTACTGTGATCTCATCAAAGGATGTTCATGCAATCTAGCTCTGCTCAAATCTACCACTGCTAGCCAACTAGGAAAGTTTTGCCTGAAGAGAGTTACAAATATATCTTAAGTGAAAAAATTTTAAAAATACTCCCAATAGTCTCTTCTGAATCAAGGACATTTTTCAGAAAGATAAAAATAGCTCTTCCAGATCTTTTATTTTATATTCACCTATTAGGGTCTTTAGCATTTGCAAGCTGAAGCCTCAACTCACAACCCAACCCGACAGAGCTAACTCAGACTAAGGAATATATAGGTTGAATTAATTTCTCTGTATTTGTAGAGGTTTATTCTTAGATCCAGGAGAGGRAAAAATGATAAGCACATACAGAGCATATTGGAAGAAAGTACAACCTAGAAACAGAAGTTTAGCTAAGCAAAATGCAAAAGGAAAAATAAATAAGCATAAGCACCTGTTTAAATGTCTTAAGCTGTGGAGCAGAAGAAAGATGTGAAAGAGGCATTTCTGTTTGACCATAAACCTTGTGCTACTTTAAGACTGTTACCCTCAATTTTCTCAGGATATACCACGTCTATATGCTTACTGTATTTATTCTAAAATCTCTTAGTGATCTATGACTTCAGTCACATGCAGTGTTGTAAAACAGTTCATTTAAATTTATCATAAGGGGAATTTGCCAGAGCCAAGCCTCAGGAACCTGAATCTACTCATACATGGGCAGTGTTGACACATTGGCACCAACAGCAATGAAATGCACTACAAAGCATAAGTGTTTGATTCTTCTATTTTTCTAAAAAAGCAGAGCTCTCATAGTGCTGCTTGAATTAAACTCCCACAACTGCATCATTAATTTCCCCAGGATAATCTGCCTCTGTGATTTCTGGAACAAATAAAAGCTAAGCAATGAATTCTGGGCACCAATAAAACCAATGGGCTYGCACACAATTCCTCAGTTTTGCCTTTTATTGTGAGTTTATTGATCACCCTRAAAGACAAGGGTGATTATATTCCACATTGTTATCAATGAGCAAACACATTAAAGTGCCTGGTGATTTACAGGAGAGCCCAATGGCATCTGCTTCTGCTCAGCTGGCAGCAAACCTTCCTGCCCTCATATTCCTGCCAATATTTGTGTAAAAACCTCTTTAACACCCCAGTAATTCTGTGTGAAATATGATCTAACCTTATGATTCATAAARTTGAAAACATTGGAACACAGTGATAACACCAACAAAATAAAGACACTGCTGATTCTTCTGTAAATGGGGACTGACATTTTACATGTTATAAATAATCCCACATTATAAAAACCTGAGAGTGATAAACCTACTGATGCTTTATAAAAAAACAACTGTTGTTAGGAAATGTTTTAAATCAAAAGAGGTGAAAGTATCATTACAGTAATATTTCATCAATAACTGTTTCAAG